CGTGTGTGTGTGTGTGTGAGTGTGTTGCGTGCGTGCGAAGGTGTGTGTGTGTGTTGTGTGTGTGTGCGCGGCGATGTGTAGTGTGTGTGGTGTGCGCTGCGCTGCGCAGTGGTGTGTGGGTGGCGTGTGCGTTGCGTCGCGTGCGTGCTATCGTGCAGTGCGTGCGTGTGCGTGCTCGTGCGTGTGTGTGTGGTGTGTGTGTGTGTGCGTGTGCGTGTGCGTGTGTGTGTGGTGTGGGTGTGCGCTGTGCGTGTGTTGCGATGCGTGTGTGAGTGTGTGAAGTGTGTGTGTCTGCGTGTTGTGGCGTTGCGTGCGTAGCGTGGCGTGTGTTGTGTATCGTGTGTGTTGTGTGTGTGTGCGTGTGTGTGTGTGTGCGCGCGCAGTAGTGTGTGTGCGTGGTGCGGTGCGGTGCGTGCGGTGTGTGAGCGCGTGTGCGTGTGTGTGCATGTCGTGTGTGTGTGTGTGGCGACTCGCGTGCGTTGCATCAAAGGTTTCTGGCAGTTGTGCGTTGGTTCATTCAATATATTCGCAGGCTATCATGCAGCAGAGGGCCTACCTGCTCACTAGCAAGCATTAATTTATCATGCTGCTAGCCGCTGGCGGCACCAACCGCGAGAATTGGTAAAAGCGTCAGGCTGCGCCTGACAGCTGTCAAATATTGCCACGCGTCTGAAACTGACCCGCGAGTACAGTGTAGACCCGATATACAAAGAATGTGTGTGTGTGTGTGTGTGTAGTGTAGTAGTAGTAGTGTGTGTGTGTGTGTGTGTGTGTGTGTGTGTGTGTGTGTGTGTGTGTGTGTGTGTGTGTGTGTGTGTGTGTGTGTGTGTGCGTGTGCGTGTGTATGTGCGTGTGAGTGCGCGTGCGTGTCGGTTTTTTTTTTTTTCATTCTCTTACCCTCGGTAAGCATTCATGTGTTCCATAATTCCACCAAAATTGTTAAAGTTTAAAGTAATTAGCCTTACATTACAAGGAAACTCCGACGCGTGTGATTTGTTCGCGCGCGCGATATAAATACATTACATTTTCTTCGCGTATAAATAAAACGAGATAGTAATTACTCTTACTTTACAGCCATTAGCAGCTGCCGAACGTGGGGGGTCCTTATAATAAGGTTACTGATTACTGCTTATGATCTGTCCATCGTTGTCTATGTTGTGTTGGTCTTGGCGTAATTGGGGAAATTACTGCAGACAGATACAAGACAAATGTCAGCGCGAGCTATCATTACCACTAAGATTATTACATTACTGCTAGAGCAAATCGCGGCTGCATCGTCTCGTTCCTTGGCATCCCGTTAATTTAAAGACGGATGCCTTGCTACCGGATATCCGCCGCCGTGGGTAACTAATGTAAACAGTGCAACGTGCGAGCTAGCGCGCAAGGCATTGCTATCGGTCTTGCGCCGATACATTATCGCAACTATCGTAAACAATCGCAACCATCGCAACAATCGTAAAGTTTGCACCGTAGGCGCGAAGAATGTCGCATCTGGCATGCCCCAGCCGCTTCTGGCATATATGGAAGTCTGGCGAACTACAGTATGTATATGTGTAGGCGGCGCTGACGCTTGTTACCTCCGCCAAGGGGGTTATGTTTTCGCCCCTGTTAGTATATGTTTGTTGGTTTAATTGTTTGTCTGTCAACAGGATCTCAAAAGATTACGGACCGATTTTGATGGAATTTTTTGGACGGGTTGGTCTTGGGCCAATAACAGATCGATTAGATTTTGGTGGTGATCAGGATCCAGATCTGGATCCAGAATTTTTTTGAACTAAAAAAATTGTGCGATAGACTTCGGACGCATTAAAAATTCATAAAAAAAATTCCTGGATCTTTTTCTCTCTTTTTTCAAATTTCTGAAAATTCCATCATACTCTATATTGGGTGTACCAGCAAGATGGGGGACTGTTACGCTGTGGCAGAGGTTTGCTATCTCCGATTGCTCTTGTTTTTATTGTTATATTAGCATGCCTACCCCATTAATTTTCAGCACTCAAATGGGGAAATATAAGAGCTGCATTTTTTGTGATAAAAAAAATTGCCCAAGGGTGCCAAAGTGGCACCCGGTGGATTCTGGTGTACTGGTGTTCTAGGTGTACAAGTGTTATAGACGGTTCGTGAGACACGTCGGGAAGTGCCCGACTGTGTGTAGGCACGTGATCGTATAAGTGGTAATGTTCTAAACCTTGCGTTGTGATATTGTTCTTAACCTTTTGTTTCGTTTCGTGCTGGCGTAATTGCCGTTTGAAGGGGATGTCAGACTGTTCTCGATATCTCCCGTGCGACGTAAGACAACTCGACTAAAAGGCTTATCCGTCAACTCCTCAACAAAAAGTGGATAGAGTAAACCCAGCTTTATGGGATCTAGTTGCGAATAGGTCATTGCGTTACGTTCTGTTCGATTAACATTCTACAATTACAGTTTTTATTGCAGTAGCCCTTCACGCTATTTTAATTTATGTTATCATTTTTCTAAACTCATCATGTTCTACTACTGCATTATTGAATAGCATTTCTTATTCTCTACTTTCTTCTGAAACATAAAAACACATTATATTTTGTCACGACAGCAACCCAGGCAACGCCGGGACCACCCCTATAGTAGACACTAACCTAACTTACGCACGCACATTCTTCGTTCGCACCGTTGCAACGATGAATGAACGATTCATACGATTTATTAATAAATTATTAAGCGCCTTGCTCAATCGAGTGTTGTTTATTCATTGATATAACACGGAGTGCGAGAGCTCTGTGCTCATGAGTGTTAGTCATCATAACTGCTCTTGCGATCCCGCCCGGTCCTATGGTGTCCATGTATGTGTATGCATGAGAGTGTGTAAGTATGTACGTGTACGTGTACGTACGTGTGCGTGTAAGTGTAAGTGTACGTGTACGTGTACGTTTATGTGTACGTGCACTGTGTGTGTGTGTGTGTGTGTGTGTGTGTGTGTGTGTGTGTGTGT